CCATATGCCTTGTGCTTTATATATATATTTTTACATTTGACCTTATTTGTATATTTGTATAGTTGTATTTTGTATTTTGTATTTAATCTGTATTTATGTTATCTGTATGCACCCAAGGGTCTGAGAGTAACGCAATTTCAATTCTCTGTGTGTATGTGCTGTACATGTGGAAGAATTGACAATAAAGCAGACTTGACTTGACTTGACTTGACTTCTGTCCATTTAAATATGATAATTCCAACATGACATGAAGTGAACAGTAGACATTAGTTTGAAAAATGATGAATATTCCTTTAAGGATTCTAGAGACTTTCAGAAAAGTTTCAGTTTCACACAAATGCCCCCTCCTTCACTTGATTTCTTGCAGGCACTCAAGCCAACGTCCTCCAGGAAGCCCATGTGCCCATCATCAGTGACGCGGTGTGCAATGGCCCAGATTATTATGACAACCAGGTCACAACCACTATGTTCTGTGCCGGTTATGAGAAAGGAGGAACCGACTCCTGCCAGGTATCTGCCACTCAGCTCTGACATCATCAGTCCAGTGGACGGAGCAGCACATGTCCACTAGAGGGCGACATTCATAACTAATGTGCATGATGTGGCTGTGTGGAATTATGAAGTGATATGAGATACTGTCTCTCATATGATGTCAGGGGGACAGCGGTGGTCCTTTCGTAGCAGTGGATGTCCTGTCTAAGACCAGCCGCTATCGTTTGCTGGGGGTGGTGAGTTGGGGCACAGGCTGTGCCATGGCCAAAAAGCCTGGCGTCTACACGCGTGTGTCACGCTTTCTGCCCTGGACATCCACAGCCATGAGGGTGAGTGATGCAGGATCAGACTTTCAACAGCATATCTATATAACATAAAAGCAAACTTCCTCTCATGTTTGTCTCCACAGATGTATGAAAACTCCCCAGGAGTGCACAAAATGGCACGGGCGGTCACACCATAGCCATTCAGAGTGGAAATTTTTTTAATATGAGACTGAAATGTTGCCTGTTGAGGTCAGATGTGTTGCTCGGATCAGTCTGAGATCAGACGTCTGGTGTTGATCAGATGTTCTGTGATGATCAACCTGTCCCAAGGACAATATCTGACTCACGGAGGCCAAGAACCATTTCTGATGCTGTACTTTGGGTAAATATGTTTATGAACATAACATGTGTTATTAACGTAGAATATGCTATTTTTCTCTGAAAAATCTACCAAAATACAGTATAATAAGATAGGTTGATTAAAATTAGCAATATTGACTGAACCCAAAAACACTCATTATAGTGCTGTCAAACGATTAATTGCGATTCATCACATCCAAGATAAACGTTTTTGTTTACATAATATATGTGTGTACACTGTGTATATTTATGTATATATAAATACAAACACATGCATGTATATATTTAAGAAAAATATGTTATGTTTATGTATTAAATATATTTATATATAATATAAATATATAAATGTATATACATGTAAATATATTTTCAAAATATATACTGTATGTGTGTGTATTTATATATCCATTATAAATATGCACAGTACACATACATATATTTAAACAAAAACTTTTATTTTGGATGCGATAAATCACAATTAATAATTTGACAGCACTAATACACACACACACACACACACACATATATATATATATATATATATATATATATATATATATATATATATATATATATACATA